ACAAAACACAAACTATGACATAGAAGACATTAGGTTAGTGAGTAGAGGAGAGGTGCTCAGTGCATCATGGGAAGGACCCCCCAGCAGTGTAGGCTTATAGCAGCACAACTAAGGTGTGGTTCAGGGTTATCTGAGCCAGCCCTAACTATAACTTGAATTAATTTCCTTCCTTAAAGCAAGTTTTATTTAAACCTGTAAAATAGTTTTTTGTCACATTTCTGCATTTCTTAGCACATTACTGCCACCTGTAGATCAGTGGAAAAGTGTGACACCATTGGCAGTAATGTTCTTGCATCAGACAAACAAAACAAGAATGCACTCATCAAAAAACTGCTCCAAAGACATCAAAGTACTTCATAGCGAACCTTTAAAACCTCTGCATGACTCTACACTCAACATGTTTCTACATCAGCGAGCCTTAAAAGCCTTATACTACTGTATGCCAGCCAGTGAGACATGTGCTTCAATGTGCTGCCACATAATCAGATTTGATGTTTATAGGCACAGTTCTGTTATTTCTAAGAGACGAAACGTCAGAGAATTGGGATGCAGCGTTGGCCAAGATGGATCAAATCAGGCTAGTCAGTTGATCCCTTGCTGTAGTGACTGGATTTGTAGAGCTATATGGTGCCAAAGAGAACACGTCAAACAAAGGAGGTCTCCTCCCACTCTTCAGCCTCTTCTGTCATGAGCTCAGCAGTATAATACCATGAAAATATCTTAGATCCATTCAAAGCCTTATTAATCATTGTGCAATAACATTAACAGCTTTCTGTAGCCTTTTCAGTAACAAATTGACTCATTTTGTCCGCTTTGCTTCTTCTTCAGTTCCAGTCATTATTAAATGGCCTTAACAAGACTTCAGGTTGGGTTTCTTAAACCAACACTTCTCTTGGCCACTCACTTATTTTCTTTGTCAGTCACTACCCAATAATTATAGGCTTTACTTTCTCACAAGCATTCTTTCTCAGTCTCCCCATTTTCTGTTTTGCATTTGAGAGTAAAATGTCTTTAATGGTGATGGACACTAGTTGCCTTTGTTTTCCCTTGACACTTCAGAGGCTAATTATGAGTGCTGCACTGCTAATATTATAAATGGACTATTTTATATTGTCCTTTGCTCTGACCAAAAGAATGGTTTCTCTCCTGTGACACATAAGTCACACTTTGCAGCTAACTACTTCCTGTCTTACAATCTTGACACTGATTAAAGGCAGATGTGGAGATAAATCATTTTTGATGATTGATCATTTAGGGACTCCTAAGACAAAACTTCATCACTGTAATAATTCATCTTTACATTCCTTTTTGTTTTTTCTTGCAACATAGAGTTTCATGGGGAATTAGGTTTATGGCAACATTTTGATGTTCTTGTGTCTTAATAGTGAAAAGTGATGGAATAAACACTGCTAATGTCACTGCTTTGTTGATGATGTACTTTTGTGTTGCTTTAGAAATTAATTTTTTTTTAAAGTTTATACAGAGTTGAAAATCTCAAATATCATAGTACACAATTTCTTTGTCATTACATTGTGATCAATGTACAGTAGGAATAGTTAAAAACAAAAAGCCAGTTTATTTTTACAGTCAGCTGTACCCCATATACTGAGAATCCATGAAACTTTGGTTCACTTTAAACATGTTGTTTTACTCGTATCTATGAGTCATATTCTTTGTATGTGTTCAAATACTTTGCCAGTAAAGCTGATTCTGTTTCTGAATGGCACTGAACACTGTGAACTGGCTAAAGTATCCAATAAGCGTCATTCTTTGCTTTGGAAAGGAGTTAAAGTCTCACTTTAGTTGTAAGCAGTGAAAGCTGTTGAAATGCCAGTTGAATTTTCAGCACTCAAATAAGTGAAAGTGCTAAACCCAATTAAAATCAATTAAACTGTAATCACTGAAAGAAGCTGAAGTGTCATTTAAAGTTTTGGTGGAAAGACTTTTCACTAATCAGCGGAAACTTGTTCTCTCTGCAGCCTCCAAACAATGGCCCTCCTCCGCTGCCCAGCACCTCTCTGCCAGAAGGTTACTATGAGGAAGCAGTTCCCTTAAGTCCTGGGAAGGCTCCTGAATACATCACCTCCAGTGAGTGAGATGCTGATTTATACAACACACCACAAATATAATGTACTTGGAGCTACAATCCCAGACAGCAGTTGATGGACATGCTGCTGCTGAAGAGTGAATGTGTTTCAGGTTTTCATCTTTATTTGATTGAAAGTAAACGGCACTCTATTTATGCCCTCTCAGACTACGACTCGGATGCCATGAGCAGCTCCTACGAGTCGTACGACGAGGAAGAGGAAGACGGGAAGGGTCAGAAGATGCGCCACCAGTGGCCGTCTGAGGAAGCGTCCATGGATCTGGTGAAGGATGCCCGGATTTGTGCATTCCTGCTGCGCAAGAAACGATTTGGCCAGTGGACCAAACTCCTCTGTGTCATCAAGGACAACAAACTGCTGGTGAGAGACACAGACATAATGTAAAGAGTTCCCACATATTGAGTGCGGCTTGAAACATTGCAGCTGGCATATCACAAAGGCTGCAATGTAGGATATAAGATGTTTGGATTGTAAATAATGACACTAATGCTGTAATTGCATTTGATTTCATTCAAGCAGATTGACACTTTCAGGAGTTGTTGATGCTTCACCACTGATCAACGTGGTTTAGGCATGCACAATGTGGTTCGACTGACTTTAGCCCAGTCTCATTTAATAACCACACCTCATAAATTTTGCTTTTCCCAGGACTTAAACTGCTGTGTCACTGTTTTTACAAATGTATGGCATCCTCTTTGTGTGACAGTCATGCTTTTGATGGTATGTAGTCGTGCTCCATTTCGTGTTTAAAATTTATTACACCATGAATACTGACCTGAAGCTTGACTTTAAAAATTTCACATCACACTGTTTGAAACATTGCAGTTACACATTTCACCAAATCGTTTCACTTTGTTCATACTTCCATGCATGTGTGCAAATGGTGACATAAAAATGATTCCCCCTTCTTTCCCTCCAGTGTTACAAATCCTCCAAAGACCACACCCCTCAGATGGAGCTTACCCTATCAGGGTGCAGCATTACTCACGTCCCCAAAGACGGCAAGAAGAAGAAGCATGAGCTGAAGATCGTCCACCAGGGGGCGGATGCCTTGGTGCTGGCTGTACAGAGCAAAGAACAGGCCGAGGAGTGGCTCAAGGTAACGCAAAGAAACCTGAAAGGCACTGATTTAGTTTCGTAACTGAGTGACCTGGCAAAGTCAGTTGCCCCAGAGCAAACAAGTACATGGACCACAAGCCAAGATAGTTTTCTTCCACCATTTAGACCCATCTGACCAGCAAAACCTGGTTAAATTTTATTATTTTTTTCTTTTCAGTCATTTCTACTTTAATGAATCAAGAGTTTCCTTGAACACATATCAGCTCAGAAGTGACACTAAAATACATTCTTAATTCCGAGTCTCTTTCAGTGCTATATTACGAACAGGATGCTTGTGAGTCACTTAGTAACTACTTTGTTAATATACCACACAAAGTTTAGAATTTTGAATGACCTAGCTGTAACATTTACTTGTTAGAAACTGAAAACTTCCTTGTGTTTGTATGCACTGGAATATAACAGCCTTATAAGCATGGCGTCACGAAAAGGTATAATGGCCAAAGAGTGAAGAGGCCTAGAAATCCTGTCAGATATTCAAAAGTTAATTTCCACAGCCTCATGTAGCTTATTGCATAGAGAGCTGTCAAACACCATGAACAGTGCTGTACGTCAGCATCTGCGGTACACATTATAGATCATTGTAACATAGTTCAGATCAGGGTGAAATTCCTGGGATTTAGCTTTCAATTCGGATGTTGTCGTCAGTGAGGGATAATTAGGTGTACTGTAACTTCCATGTTTCTGCTCGTATTGAAACCTAAAGGGTGTAACCTACTGTATAAGAGCAACTTTGCTTTTGTTCTTCAAAAGGGGCCTTTTCCTGATATTGTATGACTCGTTTGTTATGAACAGGTGGTTCTTCTGGTTTCTCTCTGATGTGATGATGTTTGGTTTGTACTCCTCATCTGATCCCCCTCGTCTCTGTCTCTCACACATTTTTTTTCTCTACCTCTCTCAGCTCCCCTCGTATTCTCTTTCACTCTCAGATCTTTCCCTCTAGCAACAATCCTGCAAAACAAACCCACCCCACCGACATCAAATAAGCTGCGGTACTTTCTGCTTTTCAACCCCTGCGTCCATTTGTTGTTGGTTCGTTGCCTTCACCTCAGGGCTCTCTGTGTTTTGGACCTCATCTGGTCTTTGGTTTTAAAGGAAACCCCGCAGCCCCCTCTTTCTCCTCACCTCTGCTCTCCTCAGATCTCCTGAGAATCTTCTGGAATGCCTTGTTTGTTCTTGACAACCTATTGTGCGCTATTTCAGGATCCCTCCTCATTTGTTTTTGCAGTGGTATTTTTGTAATTACTTGTGCCCTCTAGCCTCCACCTACGCAGTTCCCCTTTTGCTGCAGTTTTACCAACAGGTTTTTGGGCTTGGAGGTTTTTCTTCTTCTTCTTTCATTTCACCTTATCTTTTGAAGTAGCACTTTTGCCCCACAAGTCACTGATGGAAACACCAGTGTAACTATTTGCAGTGTTGGCTTTCTGTCTTGAAGTTTCAGCGAAGTCATGTTTATGGCAGGCAGGAAACAAAGATCAAAACAGTTTGTGTTTTTCTTCTTGATTCAATTACTCGTTCCACATGGTAATTAGCCATTGTTTATTGATTGGCTGGTGCAGGTAACCTCATCGGGGCCGAAGTATCTGCAGGCAGTCGCAACTAGACCCATGAAAATATACAAATCTCTGTATCACCCAAACTATGGTAACGACTGCACTAATTGTTGCTTGGAGAAACTGGGTCCGGGCACATATTTAGTCAGGTGCCTGGATATTGGAAACATGTTGAACTGATAACACTGTGGCAGTCAGTTTTTCACTCTCGCAATCACTGTGGTGTTTTTGTTTGCTTAATCGATGCACATGTAGTTCGTCATGCTGCTGCAATTAGCAGTCATCATATCCAGTTGGCTAAGGTTAGGCGCTTACACCCTCCCCTGCAAAACAACTCTGGATTTAAAGTCCTTGTGCTGTATTCATGTCATTAGCAGCAGAGTGATGTCGGGTTACATTCCCTGGCCTACTTTGTGTTCTCTTGAGCCACAGGGTGTGTAACTGTGGCATCAAGCCTGAAAGATTAGGTTGTCCTTGTGTCTGTATTTGGTTATTGCATCTTTTTATTATTCCCTGTACTTTCTCCCTTTGTCTCTCATGTTACTGTTTCACATTACAAATTTGGATAATGGAAATGAGGCGTCGTTGGGATATTTCCCCACCCTTGTTCAAGCTGCCAGCCAATAATGTGCCCTCATGACAAAAAGGAAGCCATTTGAAATCACTTTCAGCCAAAGGAGATGAGTAGTGAGAAGAGGAAGAGGTCGAGAAGAATAAGAAGGGAGGTTGGAGGGAAGAAGCAAGGTGAGAGGAGGAAGGAAAAAGGAAAAAAAAGGGAGAGGACAGCAATGAAAGGAAGAGAAGAAGGGAGGGTTAAGGGAAAGCTGGGAGAGTACCTGAGGGTTTCCAAAGCCCACTAGTTACAGTAATGATTCTCCCAGACACCATTTCCTAACGATGTGTTTATGGAATGCACATGTTCATATTGTGTCCTTGCTTCATTCTCCTAAATCTTATTGCTTTTTTTGACAATTGTTAAAGTTAGTCTGTCTTTTTCTTTTCTCCTTCTTTATTCGTTTTCCTGCTGCAGTATGACCTCATTTTCTTTGTCTCTCTGACTGATGTAATATCTTCTCTTCTAACTTCTCTTTTCTTGGTTTTTCCATACAAAGTTTGGGGAAAGTAAGTTGAATGTGGATTGTTATTCACAGCTTATTTGCTCAAGTTTGTCAAGTCTGGTCTAACCCCAAGTGCTTCATTGTTGACTATTGCAATGCGCTGTTAACTGTTTGACAGTGCATGGCTAGCCTGTGCATGTAACTGCATTTTTTTATTGTAGGGGTATATAGCATTAACCAATGGCACATGTTGCAGCATTTCTGGCCTAAGTTAGATTGAAATGCTCATCCCTGGAAGAGCCTTTAAAATATCCCAAAGATGAATTCATAAAATACATTTTCCTTTGAAAATAATAATAGATATCATACCTCTTGTGCAATCCTCATAAACACACCAACAAATCTTATCAAAGATGAAATGGCAATCATTTTTAAAAGAAAAGGAAGTGCCTCAGGTTTCATGCATCAATGGTGTGTGACAAGTGCAGCCAGAGGCAAATGGTTTAATCCCGCAAAGCTGGGAAAAGGATGAAGAAGTTTTGTTCATTTTTATCAGAATTCTCTCCAACAGAGAGATCTGTTATATGCTGTTAGAAAAGTAAAGCCTTTGATATTAGTTAATTGTTGTTGCTCTTTCCAAAGTGAGTAAAGTTTTTAAAAAATTACATTTAAATTACTTTGCAGATACAGAAATACAAAAAGTTTATAGATGTTCACTACATATTACATAGTTCAAAGAGTTCCATGTATATGGGCCTCAAGCTGATTGATTTTATAACAAAATATGAAATGTGCACTCCACAGAGCTAAAAAACACCACTTTGGTGCCTAAAGCACATGCTCAGCAACCAGCAGTATATTCCTCATTATTGAAATTGGTATATCAGCACCTAGAACTACCGCCCACAGTCTCACCACCTCCTCTGGTTTGATTTGCAGGACCTCATCAGGCCTACATAGTACCCCAGCCTAGCAGCGTAGCTCTACTATGGAAGGTAGACATGATGTTGCTATCTGTCCCGTTCTCCAGCCTCTGAGCCGCTCTCTGAGCCAAACCCATGGAGCCACAGCCTGTCATTTCCCCCGCGAAACCCAATTATGCTCACTCTAAGCCAAAACCAATGAGTGGAGGAGCTCTACGCGGCCAGAGATGGTTCAGAATGCTTGTGGAGAAGACGGGGGAGTGTGTATGTGTGTGTGTATGTGTGTGCGTGCGCCAGAGAGTGCATTAGCCGAATTGCGCACACAGCGGTTCGTCTGAAATCTCATTTCCCAGTACCCACCGCTCATCTGCACACATCCCTGTCACCGCCACACGCCTAGGATTGCCAGATCTGACGGTGGGCTGCCAGGTCTGAAGTCCAACGAGGTCATGGTAATGCACACTGGCGCCCCATCCAGAGCCCTGCAGATCTCATTCACCCCTACTGGACCTGATTGTATAGGGATTCCATGGATGTAGTAAAACTCTGTGGTGTCTAATGTGTGTGACAGACCCTCCCACTCAACCCCCCCCACCCCTCCACCAACTACTATAACACACCACATGCATGCATGCTCTCTCTCTCGCTCTCTCCTGGATTTACTCCACTGCATGGGCTGTGTTGCCTTATGATCCCTTGGCTGCTATTCAGTAGCATGATGGGATATGACAGAGGAGGGAGTTCACCGTACATGTGGCCCATATTACCCAGGCATGCTCTCTAGACTAAAGGAATGAGCTACTTAATTATGTGGCAATTGTGTGAGGAAATATTTTAGGATTTTTAAATAAGGGATCCACCCATATGTTCTGATCGCAGTTAGGACCTTAGATTCCACGGGCCCAGTTAGACGTGGCAGCGTATGAATTGAACTCCCTGTGTGGCGATAATATGTGTGAGTGTGGACTTCCACTTGTTTAACATGAATGGCAGCCTCATTAGCTTTTGCTGTGTTTCCTTATGTTTTCCAGGTGATGAGAGAGGTGTGCATTAATGGAAGTGTAGACTTGGATGGAGGTGGATCTGGATCACCAGTGCACAAGCCTGAACTGGAAAAGGTAAACAACGCACACTCATGTGCTGATACATGATGCTGATGCTCTAATTGTGTCTGCAAATCTTCTACTTCATTGTTGTTTATGAGCCAGGGTTTATTTTGGCTCAGGTTTCAGGTTGGCAAATGATCTGTGTTCGCTAAGCTCCAAAGCTAAATGCAAAGTAACTAATCTTGCAAATCTTGCGTCTATTTTCTGCAAAGAGCAATATATAAAACATTCAGGTAGCAGCAGAATTAATTAGCCTTAGCTAATTGTTGTTCATTTCATGCATAGCTTGATAAAAAGGCTGATGTTTTGTTCTAAAGGTTTGTCATCTCGTCTTGATGAGATCAGTTGAGCTACCACTCACATAATTGAAGCGATCCTGCCTCCTGCCTTAATAGACGGTTATTACATGACAGAAATTCACAGCTTTTGCAAATTAGTTTCTCCAGTGAAAACAGCATTTGTTGCTTCATATGGTGCCGTTTGTATGATTGTCAAATCCAAACAATCAGCTGAAAGATGCTAAAAAGCTGCTCAACTGGGTGAGAATTCGCCGTGGGGGTTTTTTGTCCTTTTTTTTTTGGTAAAAGTTTCCTTTCAAAATAGAATGTTAATATTCCATTACCGCAATAAACTTGACTGTCAAGAATGAAACCCAAAAAGCGATTATAAGATACTTTGATTCAGTAAGCAGATTTGATTTCAAAGCATTTTATCAAACCTCAGCCTGATTCTGTTTCATAAGTTCAACTCGTGATGTTTTGTTAATTCTTGTGAATGTAAGAGGCAAAAGTAAAGAATTTTCATGTCTTTCTCATAAGCCAGCAATGGCTTATTCGGACCTATTAATCCTTAGGTGATTGTATTATAGTTGAAAAACATTTGCAAATATATCTCCATCCCATAAGGGCGTCTTTTCTTGGCATAATCGAACACAACCGCACGAGGTAGTAAAAGCTGTTTGCCAAACAACACTTAATTCCATATGGCACAGGAGGGAAAGTTTAGGGAGTTGAAGGGAAAACAGTGTGTTATTGGTTTTCATCTGGAAAGCTGGTAAAATCACTGGCGACATACAGCACCCGTTGCATATATGTATGCATGAATATATGCAAGTGTGTTTAGTTGTGGAAAAAGAGCTACATCAGAGGATCTTTAATGACAAACCTCTCCTAACTTGGCACAGCAAACACAAACCCAGCCTAATTATTCAACTATAACATGTTGCAGATGTTTCTAAGGGTTTTTACAATGTACAACGTAATTAGACAGCTGTGTTGGTGTGTTAATGCCTTTTTTCTTGACTTGTCTGTCTTCTGGAAAGTACAGTTTTGTTCATTTACTACCTTCCTGCGTACCCATTCTTTTTCCTGTATGGTCTTTCTGCTGCTAGAAGGCATCGAGTGACAGGCCGAGCTCAGATGGTGAAGCGACCCATGAGAATGGACACAGCGACTGCAAGGACCAAGGTGAGAGTCACAGTAACCAAATAATGTATATATATTGCATGGAGAAAAAAAAATCTGCTGCGAACAAAAGCGATTCATTCACATCCACTTCATGAGGCAGTTTTAGCTATCTGTAAGGAGCTTCCTGGGAAAATCCCTCTCTGGTAGATAGGAAATGATGATATCTGGTTCACTTAGAATTAACAGAACAAGAACTGGGTGATTAACATGCAAAGCAATAACCCCCGTGGATAAAGTGACATAATAGACACAGAAAGATGTCAGTATTCTAACCACACTGCCTCATTGACTTGACGAAGGAAATGGATATATGAGTACACATCTCCATCAGTGTTTATGAGCAGATGCATTCTGCCTAGCCTTAAATTAAGACAAAGAAGCTTACCACTCATGTTGTTAAAATTCAATCATACACACTTCAAATACTGGCCTCGATTGATTGATTTCATGTTTTCCAAATCAGTGCTTCTACAGTCAGCAGGGGGGTTGTTGAGGATCACTGGTGGCCTAAAAATGCCCCTAATTAGGGCCACCTACAAAGGACTGTATGTGGGGGAAAAAAAACAGGAGTCCACCATCCTCGATGGGCCCCTAGTGTCCAGAGTGCAGCCTCAGTGATTGCTGCACTCGTACCAAGGAGTGCCCATTGCTGTCGACCCAGACTGGCATCACAGCATGATTCCACTTTGTATGGACACACTACTGGTCCAGAAGGGACATCCCCGACTCCAAGCCCTTAAATTAGTTTTTTGTAGGGAAATCCCAGCTCAAGCTTTCCATTGTAATATACAATCTTCATTAAAAAAAGTTTTCATCAACAGTGGGGGCAAGCCAGAGGGTTTTTTTCCACTACAGCAGAGTGATGCTGAGGTGAAGCCAGGCCACTATGTACTCCAGAATGGACTGGCTTAGCGAGACTAATTCAATCATAACAGTTACTGAGCTTGCATGTCAGCAAATCAACTTCCATAACAAAGGAACAAATCATGGCCTGACTCTACGATACAGTTGAACTGTCCAGACAAAAGAAGTGCAGCTTGAGTTGGATTGTATGATGTTTTAACTTTGTATATGGTGAAGCATTTTAGTTTAGAATCTTTTTTTTATAGAGTGGAGTCCCCTAGTGGAGTTTCCCTCATAAAACACTGCATTGCCACAGTACCTTTAATTGTTGCCCTAAAGCACAGTACAACAGTTAACAATTAAATTAACTGGAAGACAGGACACTATATCAGTATTGGTGTTTCTTGGAACCAACAAGCATGTTCTCAACTTGGATCAAGCTCTAACTTTATAATTGTGGCTGCCTTTCTTGTTTATGCTGTCTTGTAATTTAGAAGAATTTCTGCAAACTGGGAAGATCATCCTTTATTAATATTACATGAGGCCTGAAGAAAGAGCATTTGGATGTATTTAACATGGGTTTTTACAGGAGTGGTCTTTCCCTGCTGAACTACACGCCAAAACAAAGAGTTACGGTTGAAATAGTCTCTGATTATTTACTGTGTGTTTGCTCAGCAGGCAAAATTCCTCAGGGAGAAAAATCTCATTTTACTTGTCAGTTCGGATATTTGGATTGTCAACTAAAATTTAACACTCGTATTTTTTTTTCCATTTAGATTGTTTCATTTTTCCAGCATTAATTCTGAAACAGATTTCCCACCAGCAGTTAATTTCAAATCTTCAATCCAGTTGGGTTTTTATGGAGTCAGCTCAGAGTTGTGATTCATGGACTCAGTTGTGTAAGTCATGTTTGTGTGTCGTTTCTGTGCAACTAATGGGGATGCAGGAATGGAATCGGCAGCGATCTGCCAGATGAGCCTAAGGCAATCATAAAACATTGTTGTCTACTTCTTCAGCGAGGTAAAATTTGAAATGGATCTAGACCTAGTTCGAACCCTTAAGTCATGTGATGCAGCTCAACCCGGTGATGTACAACTTTTACTGTGTGAGCCTGTTTTTGCTATTTTATAAGTGAAACTAATTAGTAATCTCTGCCACCTTTTATTATCATTTAATAAACATATTAGCTTTATCAGCTGATATATACGTAATATTCTCCACTGAGTTCTTCTCCTGTTTTCCTCATGCGTTGCTCATTCTCTCATTCAGTCCTAACACCCTCCTTTTTTTAGCTTAATCAGCCACATTCTTTCCATGGCTGGTAACAAAAAGAGCTGATTTACTGGAATCAAATTTACCTGATCTGAGTTTTCCTGCGCCTCTTCTCTTGAAGGGAAAAATAATAATAATTCCTCCTATTTTAAAAAGGTTCAAATCGCTTTCACATCTGTGTGTCTGCTTTCCACCTCAGGCCTGCATTGTGTGTGACGTGTGTTTGTATACTTTTGGTATTATGAGAAAAACCCTGTGACTCAAATTGAGTGCAGACGGCTTCCTATTTAATTAAGGCCGTCGCCATGGCAGTTGTCACATCATATCAGGGAGGGAAACGCAATATGGAAAAAATGTTGAAACAGAGGCGTGTGAGCGCCAAACAGAATTGAATACAAAGAGTTTCTGTCATTACCATATCAGTTTAGACTACTATTCATTCGCTTTCAACGGCTAGGTGCTAATTCCTGCAAGGCGCAGACATCCTGTGTGTGCAAACCAGCCCTGGTGATTATATAAAGTATATTTCTGTGTGCACATGTGGGCCTAGAATCAGCCCAGACGCTCAGTATGACATAAGCGAAAGGGAATGCTTTATATTTTCCTCCCCCAGTACTTCTCCACTGTGTCTTTCGTTTTGATATCTGGCAGTTGCGAAAGGTTAAGAGTCAAATATATTTTTTCTTATCTTCCCGCTATAGACACAAACACTTTTTTCTCTTCTTCTTTCTTATATTGTCTCACTTGGACTCTCTCTCACACACAGTGAAGTACACCGCAGACAACAGTATCTACAAAGCAAGTGAGCCAAGCAGAAGCTATTTTCCTTGTACAGACAGAGCGACTCAGACTTAGCCTCTTAAGACCTGGCTTACTCGACGTTAGCCCTCCTTCCAGCAGAATGTGCACTGTCATTCCTCTCTTTCTTTGGAACAAAACTAGGCCTTCTCAGATCAGCCCACTCGGACGAATGCGGATGCTCAGGCTTTAAAATTAGCCTAACTCACCAACAAAAGGCTTTTGAACCCACAAGGTTCTGATTAAACCCAGTGCAAGTGATTTTGAACTTGTGGTTGTTTATAGTGGAGTCTGAAGTTGACCTTTTTTTTCTCTTCTCTGTTTTACTGTATTGCAAAAGCATCCAGACAATTGAATTGGTATAAAAGAACACGTAACAGCTCTCTTTGTAATTTTCCTTATTTAGATAATGACGGTGGGGCACATAGAGATGTCGGTAGATGGATCTGCAGACATCCTTCAGCAAGGACATTACTCAGTGTTTTACTGATTTCCTCCTTATTACAAGTCAGTAATTACATTCACAATCTTTGTTTCTCTCAGGAAAAGGAAAGAAAAACTCAAAGTCAGAGCAGAAGACTGGAACCGTGGGGAAGGGAGCAGGCAAAAAGATCACTAAGATCATCGGGCTGGGGAAGAAGAAGCCATCCATGGACGAACAGACTTCATCCGCAGAAGAAGATGTACCCACATGTGGTAAGACAGAGAGCTTGAAGGTGGTCATTGTGCTTTATAATAACCACGTTAACATATGTGTTGTCCAACCATTTGTTTACCTATTTTAAATGACTATACTCAAAATGGGGGTAAATCCAGACCACATCTTGTCCCTCCCCCAATCATCAATATACTGACTTCCTTGTATTCTTCAGGTAAACATAATACATAATTTATAAACATTTGCCATGCCCATTTTTCTTTGCTAATTTTAGAATCGGTGTTGTTGACATCCATTCATTTGTTAGGCTATTGCTGGGTTTATTGGTGCATCATTACCACCTATAGATTAGTTTAATGGTGTAATACTCTTGGCAGGAATGTGTTCTGTGTCACCCATGTGTTTATGTGCATTACCATGCAATAAACAAATTTTACTAATACACACCGACTCCTACAAAACTTGCCCTGTGACTTTTTGAGCAAAACTTGCATAAATTCTGAACAGGCATCCACAAAAGGGAGCTCCTTGTCTAATTTTATCTCTTCCGTGCGCCTACTGATGGTTAGGGTTAGTGGAGAAGAATTTAGCTTCACTATTACATCCACCCCTGTTGGCTGTTCAGCAGTGAATCAAAAATGGCATGCGGTACAAAAATGTTTGAAAATCTGTGGTGTGAAGCGTCTTGAGTTATTTACTGAGGTCCTAGTGGATTTGGAGACAACTGTGGCTACTGGTGATAACAAGTGTCAACAGTGGGTCCCAGACTTGTGGTCAAAATAAGAAACTGGTGGATACATTAACAGTGGGATGAGAAAATTCGTCATGTCAGGTTTTGCTAAGGAAGACAGTCAGAAGAATTATTTAAGACCAACTGCTGTGATCTGTAACACCTAAAATACATGTTCTGGCTTTTGTATTTTCTACCACAACTGGCACTGTTGTGATTCCCTTGTGTGTGGATTTGCAATTTGATACCTCTAAAGGGAAGACAAGGGAGAGCCAACCAGTACAAAACCACTAGACATAGACTCACTACATAATGCAAATATGTTGCTAAAAATTGTCGACATAAACAGTGTCAAATTCTGCTCTCAAATAATTAACATCTCAAGGATTATAATGTTGGCTGCTTTTCTCAAATACTAAGCTAACTGCATTCGTTGTTGTGACTGACAGGATACCTGAATGTGCTCTCCAACAACCGTTGGCGGGAGCGCTGGTGCCGCCTGAAAGATAACAAGCTGCTCCTCCACAAGGACCGGGATGACTTGAAGAGCCACATCGCCTCTCTGCCCCTCCGAGGCTGCGAGGTCAACCCCGGCCTTGACCACAAGCACCCCTTTGCCTTCCGTCTACTTCGTAACGGCCAAGAAGTAGCCGTACTGGAGGTGAGCTGTTGGCCTCCCTGCCTGGCATTAAATGAATCAGAAATGCCTCTGACTACATGTAAATGCAGTTATACTGCAAACAACCACTGCTTGTCATGTTTTCCTCCATATTGTTGGTCTTCCTCTCATGTGGTAAAACATCTCCTCCACCCACCAGTGACTTGTGTCTGTGTGTTTGATGTTGTTAGTGTGCATGACCTTCCTCCATTTGCCATCTTGCTTGTTTTGATTCTATTTCCTCACATAGTCTGCACGCTATCCTCTGCTAGACGTTTGCTTCCATTTCTCTTGCCTTAAAACCATATGATTACTAAATGTTTGATGGATAGTAATATGGAAAAAGTGGCCAGTTCCTACAATAGTCCAAAGAGCTCTAAAGTGGAATATGTTACATTTATGTACAATTTACTGTTAATCATAAAACTGAAAGAAAAATGGCCTCAAACTGTTATGAGAAAGATATTTATTGTGCTAAAAGATGCAGGTAGCAGTTATAGTTGTCACCTAAATGTTCATTTTGGCACTGTATTTTTAGTATAGGCATTGGATTTACAGTGATTCTGTACACAACTTCTGTCAAAGACAGACTTTCGTATCATGTAAACTGATTGTACTGATGTATTACATTCCTGTGACTTTGTCCTTTGCCTCCAGGCCTCCTCCTCTGAGGAGTTGGGTCGCTGGTTGGGGGTTTTACTGGCAGAGACTGGCTCTACCACCGACCCAGCCACCTTGCACTACGACTACATCGATGTCGAGACCACGGCCAACGTCATCCAGCTGGCCAAGCAGTCCTTCTGGTGAGGGACAATTTGTCTTTGATGTTTACCATTTTCCTTCTGTCTAATAATTGGAACAACTGCCGTGTGGTTGATGTGGTTTCAAGAAGTCGGATTACTGCATTATGGTGACGTTTTTTTCCCCCTAAACTTTCTTCCTTTAAGCATTTGATAAATTTGCACCATTTTTTGTGGCAGACTTCTGTGGAACATTGAAGTAGTTCTGGCAAAGTAGTATATCTTTTTTTGCAACAAATCTTTTTGTGAAATATTCAGTAAGACTGTCTCCATTGTGTAAAATGTGTTGTAGATACCTAAATATGAGTCTTTAACCTCTATTGTAACCAAAGGCTTAACATTGCTGTTAATGATCCGTGTACAGTGTATTTTATTTAGTATTGGAGCTGTTTGCACTTTGTGACATAAAAATCTGAGATTATCGGTGTACTTTATCGGAGGGATCTTACTGAATTTTGATATTTTCTCTTCAGTTTCACCAGTAAGCGCGCTGTCTCTCCTAACCCGTACCTGGACAACCCAGTCAATGGCTACGCCTGCCCCACTGGTATGGCGCTGCACTATGACGATGTTCCGATAAACGGAATGGTAAGAACTCACATAGTGTTACGCACACATAAGAGCAAGCTAATGCAGTTTAACACACAGCACCACTATAATTTGTTCAGCAAATTCATGGCCTAAATTCGCTGAGATTGTTTCTCTTGTCTGACTAAAACACTTGTAAAAGATTTCGTTTCATTTGCACTGAAAGGACACAAGCCTCTTGTTCTGTGCTGCAATGCTTTGATGGTTAATATATTCTGTGAAATGTTACATATAGTACCTTTTAATTAAAGGCCTACTTTTATGATTCACTATTGTGCTTCCATAAAGTCAAACGACTCACATCAGAAAGATTAAACATCATTAAACTGTTTCCATGGGCTGTGCAGTACTCGATCTACAGGTGTAAAACTGAGGAGATGCTCTTTAATGTCATGTGTTGCAGTGAAGATGTATGCTACTAACTTTCTACTCCTATCAACTCTTCTCTTCTGTTGTGACAACTTTCTCTTCTCTTCTCTTCTCTTCTCTTCTCTTCTCTTCTCTTCTCTTCTCTTCTCTTCTCTTCTCTTCTCTTCTCTTCTCTTCGCTTGCATGCTTCCGTGGTCTAACCCAAGGACCCAGTGCTGTACTCCAGTCCCAGCACAGGGGGGCGCCAGCTGAAAAAGGAGGAGCATTATGAGAACACTGACCTCTATGAGAACATGCCCTCACCCAAGCTTACCACCCGCTATCCTCCCAAACCATCTTCTACTTCTACTTCCTCTTCCTCCACTTCTACTGGTCACTACAAAACCCCTGTTTCTAAAGTCTCTTCTAAGTTCCTTACTGCTGATTCTAAAGCTAAAGACACTGCTCAGGTGACTAACACTCTGCTCCTTAACCATTTGTCTCTTTTGCATGTTCACAGTGTTCTAACTCACCAGTCTGTAATATGTGAACTAGGTCTCTTTTGTGACCTCTTTCGTAAAGACAATATTCCTTGTTTTATTATCTAAATCATTAGTGAAAATTGCTGACCAATTGCTAGAGTTATCCATAATTGTCAGGCAGATTTATGGGGGTTTTCCTTAGATCATTAAGCATTATAACAGCACTGATTACAAACAGTGCCATACATGGCAATTTCAGGCTGTCCCCAACTTTTTGCATTGGAGTCAGCATGCCTCACTATAAACAGAGACTGCAGAAATTGTCAGGCTTTTAAGAAATCAATCAGCAGGGCAAGACAGAATGGGTGGCAAATCACACAGCAAAGGTTGCCATTAGTGTAAGCTATCAGGTAACAAACTCGTAAGAGTTTAATTCTGTTTTGCAAATTACAGGGATTGATAAATCACACTATATAGCCACATACTAGCAACAAAACGGAGTAAAACTGTGAGTGCTTATCATTTGACAGAGGTGGAGGGAATGTCAAACAGCTTTAAATGCGTGAGGTGATATTAGCGTGAGGAGTAATAGTCCCCAGCGAGATATGTAAAGCTGCATTCAAAGCAGTTGTTACTTGTCTGACAACAGCTGATTAGACTAATTTGATGTATTAAGCAAAGTTAACAACGTCTTACCTCTCCTTAAAATCTCGGATGAACACGCGAAGCTGCATCAGTAAGTAGTTTTTGGGCCACCAGATTATTAAAAAAATATTCAGTAAAGTTGTTTCATATACATGTTCCAAATATTTTCCTGTTTACATATCCAGCAGTGTTGTTTTTAAGTCTACCTCATAAATGTAAGTTGAATATTCACCATCCTTTCCTCTGCTTTGGTCTCCGACAACTCTTTAAAAAAATATATCGAGCCCTTCAGTTTCTTAATTCTCCACTAGGTTCATTTTCTAGTGTTCAAAATTGTCTCTCTGGTGCTGAACAGGTAGCACACAGCTAACTTATCAACGCTTGTTTACTGAAAGTGGTTCCAGGTGCAACTGGAGCTAAAAAGCCAAAACAATTTCCTGAAACAGGCTAAAAAAGCTGTTCAGAGTCTGTGCACACAACACCTTTAACATCGCACAAGTCATTTGATTCATTGCTAATTTGAATAATGTTTATTGCAGCTATAATATTAAAAAGCCCACAGCATTTGCATCAGTGATTTAGATAAACATGAGTGCAACTTAACACTTGCACGAACAGTTTCCTGGGGAAGACCCTGGAGCTGATGTATGTGTAAAACCCCTTACTCTGGTGAATTCCCTGATTCACATGTGCCGAGTGGAAGTGAGAGGTTCTTGGCTGAAGGAAAGAGAAAACTCGGTTTATTTTCCTGCCGGAGCATGCTTTGACTAACTAGATAAGGTGTTGGCGTTGGCCACCCAGGAGCCCACCTCTCTTTCCCATCAGCCTGTGAATCGTGTTCCCTCTCTGGTGTAGTTCTTAGTAATTCAGTTGCTTATACTGATACTGATTCAGTATCAATAATATATGAAGCAGCAAGAAAGAACAAGAAAGTTCTGATCTAAATATTTGAGTAAGGCTATAACTATAAAATAGGTTTAATACATAACTGTATATCTGGACTGTGTGTGTGTTGAGGCTCGTGTGGTTGTCCCACACAGCGTATTTCCTTCCTCCCTCCCCTTTACAACAAGCGTTGGCAGTGTGTGTAATTTATATTTTTACAGCCCTGCTCTTAAGTGCCACCCTGCCTCCAGCACCATATAAGTCACCACATGGTGTTGTATGGAGCTCCGCCTCCTCCCCGCCACCCCTGTGATGTGTGTGCTGTGTGTGGCGTGGCCAAGGGGTGTTAACATCGCCTCCAAGACCGCAAAGTGCCACTCCACTGTAAGAAGTAGATCCAGCATCCAACGAGGTGTAGCCGCAGTGGCGGTAATTTCAAAGTCAAGCAAGATGTTAGGAGCACCATACAAAATCGTTGTGACTCCCTATAGCCTGGATAAGTTGGCTTCAAAGAATGTTTTCTTCTTTAACTGTATCCTTGACACAAAGACTAACCTAAAACTACAAACCTCATTACTGTCAAACCAATTTAAGGGCTCACAAAAACAGCCCATGAAGTACTCCAGACATTTTATGGAAACACTTTGATTTCTGAGGGTTTCACTTTTTCAAATGTGCATGAGCAATATGAAATAAATCAGGCTGAGAATAAACCATTTTGTCATGGGCAAGGTGTCATGGTGATGTAGAATTGTGAGTTCTTTTGTAATTATCATCCCTGATTTAGTTTTTCCAAAGTAGTTCTGTCCTTAAAAGACAATCCTAATAAAGAGCGATTAAATAATGGCATGAAACAATATTATAGACAGCTGTAGCTATTACTAAAACAGACTTAAATATCCCACCCACCTCAAACGCCAACAATTGTGTGTTTTATGCAGTAATTATATACATTTAGAAATACCACTATTACCTAAATACGTTTTACTGAATATATCCGTTCATACTCAATCAGTAGTAACAGTTGGTTCATGTAAAACAGCAGATTGAAGCTGCACAATGTGTAATGACGATATAATACGGAAGGTGATGCTCTAGTGATGACCCAACGAGAATTACCACCCTACTGTGCAGTTCTACCCAGAAAGTAATTCTTGGACTTGACTCAAAATGTATGTTATGGTCGCTCTGCATCAGCTTCATTTGTAAATTGGCAGCTGTTGTCAAAAAAGTAACAATGATGTCTATATCTTCATGAAGTCACACTATGTTAATGTTACAGTTTGGTTGGGTAAAGCAGCTTTTACAGAAGCCATATTTCATTTTAAAGTGAGAGAAGTTGATGTATGCGTTCATATGTACATATTAGCAAATTGCGCCTACTTTCACGTGCTGCAGATCCGCAATGTTTTGCCCCTCAGCCTTGCAAATCTATTCACATTTAGGTGTCATTAAAAACTAATCCCCTTTTCACTGAAGGGTAATAGTTGTCACCCAAATATAGACAAATGTGAAATAAGCAGTTCTTGAAGTATTCTAGCTGCCGTTAAGCATATCAATGGAAATATGCCTTTTTTTTTTTTATTTTAATGTAGAGTAACTTCATATATGGAAATTCACACAGTTTCTAGACCAAAGTGATGCATGTATATTGTTTTATGTGCAGTAATAACTGAGGTATTTGAACTGTTACTTCAAAAAGTCTCCTTCTTTTTCAATCAGCTAAAGGGAAAGAAGGGAGCAACAACCAATGGGGTGTCATCAAAACAAAAGGCAGAGCCAAAGAATCAGTCCAAGAAGAACGGATTCAATGGGACAAATGGGACAGCATCTCTAAAGCGCAACAACTCCAGTAAGTGTTGATATCAGAGGAGCTCACCATACGTCATTAACATGATCACTTTTGGCAGTAGTCCATCTTTCTCAGTCAGGTCTTGTGCTGTAAGTGAGTAGCAGACAGTGTGTCTGGCTCCCCGGTCCCAGCCTCACCACCACTGATTGCTTTCTAGCAAAACTCTGCTCCACAGCAATTTGGAAAATGCAGGATGTCCAAATTACGTTTGGTTTAAGAAGGAGGGGGGGGGGATAAATAACTCAAAAACCTAAAACCTATCCCGCCCTCGAGACGATCCATGTGACGCACGCGGACCATACTTGATCCCTCTGCCAACACTGGGTAATGCTCAAACGGGAGCGATAGCAGAAGTGGGGCCCAGATACACTGGAAGAGGGAGAAATGCGGTCGTGTTAATCCTCGTGGTTCAGAATAGTATTTTTTTTGCCTAATGTGTGAACGAGGACGGTTGTAACCGCTTGTGTAGTTTGTCGTTTCTCCAAATGTCAGAATGGAAACACCAAATACGTGTCATGTTGGATTGAGAGTATGCCACACAGTTCTCATATTACCTCTGTCAAGTACGTGTATTCAATTTGACAACGTCAGCGGTGGTTCGATTGAGTGATTTTTCATAAGCAACGTTTACATGCGCGCACATAGACACGCACATGTTGGATGGTTACCCACACTGTATTTTCCAGTAAGGGAAGGCCTAGTCCTGGTAATTAATGACTGCTTAAAGCTGTGGCTGAGAGTTCAGTGGGTTTCTGGGTAGTTCATGTCTCACAGTGCCCTGATAATAACCGCACTGCTCTAGTTTCTTTTTTGTCTTTATTTATTTGGAGTCTTATTGTCTTTTAAAAATGCCTATTTTGAGATTTCACAGGCAATGCACCATGACAAAATGGGTCTTGGAGGTCTTGTTCTTGTGTCCATTATTACAATATGAATCTTGTATTGCGTTCCAAATGAAGAGATTTACCAAACACAGAGCAGAGTGGGCCATGATTTTAACACACTGGCAGTAGAAATGGAAACAGGCGCATGATGTCAGCCTCTTGTATCCAGCTTTTTCACACCCGGTCATTTTTAAGCAGATGCGGAGCAGTGTAAGTACGGGAAGAACCGAGTGGAGGCGGATGCCAAGCGACTGCAGACCAAGGAGGACGAGCTGATGAAGAAGAAGCAGGAGATCAGGAACCATCTGACCCAGCTCAAGAAGGAGAGGAGAGACTTGCGCACTGCTGTGGAGGCTGCCGCTGGTAAGAGAGAGGGAAATAAATGCTGCACATGAAAACATTCATCTGTGAAAAGTTTAGGAAAAGTCTCTGTTCTCAGAAAACTCTCCAAACTCTCAACATCTTGCCAGGTACATGTTTATTAAAGTGATAATTGTCATGACTTCATCTATTAGGCAAACGTTCGCAAGCCTCTCTGTCAGAGCGACTGAAGAAGGTGGAGGATGATTGTAGGCAAAAGGAGGAAGAGAGGGTGAATCTGGAGCTGGAGCTAACAGAGGTGAAGGAGAGCCTGAAGAAAGCACTGAGTGGAGGCGTCTCCCTGGGCCTCACCATCGAACCGAAAGCCGGCTCCTTGGGCCTCCAGGTCAGAACTCCTGC